TGAATATTTTCAAAAGGGTCAAATGGGAAGGCTATGCATTTAGAAGATTCGCATCCTTTATTTATTTAGCTTGTAACGTATAGTCTTTATAATCTTATCAAAATCTGTACTTGGGCTATACAAATTTAATAAATCGATTCTCATAATCCGGTTAAGTTATTGATTTTGGCATGATCGGTATATATGAGTGTCGCTAAAAGAAAACCCGAAAATTTAAATATAAGTCATACTTAAATTTTCGAGTTTTCTTTTAGCGAAACTCATGTATATTTTACATGTATATAATATCGACGTTATTAAATTTTCATTGAATTCTTTACCCAACATGTTAGTGTGTTTAGTTTGTACGAAAATTTATGAAAAAGATTATTCTTGTTAACCAATAAATCTTAACAAGAAATATAAAAAACACGGATATAAATTTATAAAATAGAAAAATAGATATAGATACAGTATATAAAATACTCTCTTATGTGCATATATAAGGCGGTATATAACTTTAAATTGTAATGCGACTAATTTTATATCTCAACCAAAGTTCCCCATTTCGGACTGTAATTCATACAAATACTAGTCAGGTTTTTCATTCATTAAGGTTTAAGATATTTTATATCATTCGTGTTTAGAAAACGTGGTTTTCTTGAAAGTGATAGAAGTTTTTCAATATTGTTAAAAGTTACTGAGGACTTGCTAACGCCTAAGTGTTTGGCAATTTTTCAAACTGATAAGCTTCTAAATTTTTTTGTAACTATTTACCATCGAAGTTGCTTTAATGTATTTAACCAAAGATATGCATATCGATATGTGTCATATAATCTGTAATATTTAAATTAGTTGTCTGATTTTAAATTACGTACGTACGTACATTTCTGATATATCAAATTATCTATTATTGAATTTATTATTTCGGCAATGGTCGGTGTATATTTTTACATGTTATCATTACGTATAAGGTAGATGTGAGATGCTGTCGCAATAAAACCAGGAACGTAGACAACGATATTTATAATCATATATGCCAATTCTTACATTATATCATAAAGCTTTTGTTTAGATTTAGCATTACGACCTAATCTTGAAATTTTATTATAATATAGAGTTTCGCATTATGATTTCATTAACTGACTTAGTTTGTAAGTCGTGTAGAACAATTTTTGAAAATATGGGCTAGGTGCTGAGAAAAGGGACGAAATTGACAAAAATAAAGATCTTCGGAAAATCAATTTTTATGTTATAAATCTTATAATAAATCATAAGAAAATACAAACTTTAAAGAGCTATACTGCAAGATTTTATTAATACAACTACTTTTGTGTCTTAAATGAAAAATGATCTTAATCTTATTCTAAATTGATTTATGCAAAAAAAACATCTTTTAAAAAAATTGTCAATTTCGTCCCTTTTCTCAGCACCTAGCCCATATATAGATCGTTAAATCGATATGAATAAATTGAACCTAAATGAAAGGTTTAACAGTATTGTAACTAAAAATTGCATATATTCCAACTTATAATTAAATATGATTAGTGTAATACCAATTATTGATAATTAAATATTCTGATTAAATATAAAATACTTTTTTAATAAGTAAAACTCAACATTAAAAATTAAACACAAAATTCAGAATTTGTTAACACAAGCATTGGGTGTATTATAGCCCCGTCTTCGGACAACCTATAAAAAGGATTGTGTAAATTTGTACGTATTATATTCGTGTTGAATAAACAGAATGACATTTTTTTAACTATTTTTTATCAAATATTACACAAATATATATGGGATCTTTGCTAGAAAGATCGGACTAATTCAGACCATTTTAAACCAATATACCGTTTCTTCTTTACATGTAAATCATTTGTTGCCCGTATTAATTCAATAGCTTATCGAATGAACGTTTGAATCAATAAAGGCAAAAATGAAATAAGTACAGGTATATTGGTTTGAATTTATCCGAATCAGCCCGATTTTCCTAGCAAAGATCAAGTTAATTAGAATGTAGATCATTATGTCATGAGAATCAATCAAGAAAGTTGATCATATGTTATCAGGTTACTATACCTAATCAAAACCGCAAAACTCGATACAGTACACTCGTTTCACACATTCAATATTTAATTTTTGCTTGAATATTTACCCATGTTGGTGTGTTTAGTTTGTACGAAATTTATGAAAAAAGACTATTACGAAATACTCCGAATATAAATTCGATTTTATAATAAATATATTACATGAACAAATGCTAATATTAAAAAAGTTAGATATTAAAAAATCATGATTTTCACATTTGGAGGGGAGTCAATAGAAAGGGGACAAATTTTTTCCAAGTAAAATTTTCTTGACTTTAAACTTAAGTATTTCAACAACTATCTAATCAAATTTGATTAGATAGTGTTGAGATATTTTAATTTAAAAATTAAATAAAAAAATTACTAAAACTGATTTATCCCTTTTTTATTGAATCCCCATTTGTCAAAAATGAATTACAAAAGTTTTTTAATGCGTACATTCATTTCTTTTAAGTGCTTGAGAACTCGATTTGTAAAAGATCTGCTAACATCTAAGTCTTAACAATTTTTTGAATTAATAAGCCTTCTAAAGTTTTTTTTTCATTTGCCAACGAAGATGCTTTAAAAGTAGATATGCAAATGTAGCTTTATAATATTCCCTATAAAAAAAATCCCTTGAAATCATTCTGAAATTATCCGATTTTTTGTTTGGCAAATCGACTCTGTTTTGAATATTTACAGGATGTTTATTGGATGTCATACGTTTTTTGTACGATGAGCATTTAATTAAATATTCTCTATTTTAACGTCCCGTAATTAAGAATTAACCCATGTTCGGAAATCGACACCATTCCGAACAATTTTAGAACAAGGAATTTTATATTGTCACCTGATCTTAAATTTCATATTGAATCTATTATTATACCGAAATCAATAACTTAACCGAATCGGCCTAAAAATCATTCGGCTAATTTTTTGTCAGCTGTCCCAGAATTTATGAAAACAGCTGTAAGTAGATTTACTATCCGGGTGAGTTTTTCTAAAATATCTATAAAAATTTTATGTTTTTTATATATACAATTCTTTGAAAATAAAATTAAAAGCCGGGTTACCGGGTCACTTTCAAAAATTTATAAGAACCAATTTATTACAGCTGTACTCAAAAATTCTGCGAATCGGCAAATATTCAGTCGGTCAACTTTTTGCAATTTTCCAGAATTTATGAGAACAGCTGTAAGTTTGTATGACCTTTATCTCGAATAATGCGTAAATTTATTAGTTAATCTGTTTATTTAGTCTGTAACGTATAGTCTTTATAATCTTGATTTATGAAAATTTTAACATTTTATCGCGAATAATGCATAAATTTGTCATTAGTTAATCTGTTACTATTCTTTTTTTTTAACTTCAGCTTCACCCACGATGCTTATTGTTATGAACGATAGTTATATTACTAAATTTGAACTTTATTTGATCTCAAGATATAAACAATGAAAATCGACTTATCTTCGAAATAACAATAAGAATAAATTATTCATTCTGTTATAATGAATTCAAACCAACCATGTAAACACCAACATATTTATTTCATAAGAACTTATACGAAATTACGTATGCAAGATACTGAAATAATGCAATATTAAACATTGTAATCACGAATTAGGTGGAAATACTGTATATAGACGGAAGTATTTAAATTTCATGGCTGGTGTAAAGATTATTATCCGAAGGACAAATTAAAATCGTATTGTTCTTGAGTTTTTTCCCAATCTCTTGAATTCTTCTTTTGTTTCAATATCAAAATCATTTTGTTGAACGTTCAAAGAAGTTAGGGTGGTATTCTTACAAAGTGCCACCATTAACGCTTCACCCCCCCATGATCCAAGCTGACTACATCGAAGATCCAAAGAAATCAAGGTAGTATTTTTACAAAGCGCATTTGCTATGGCTTTTCCTCCTGACCCAATTTTATTACATGCAAGATTCAAATAAGTTAGGGTAGTGTTTTTGTAAAGCGCTGTTGCGAATGCTTTTCCTTCCGCTGATCCAAGTCTATTGTCACAAAGATTCAAAGAAGTCAGGGAGGTATTTTTACACAGTGCCTCTGCTAATTCTTTTCCTCCCCTTGGTCCAAGCTTAGTCTGTTTAAGATTTAAAGAAATTAGAGAGCTCAAGTTCCTACAAAGCGCTTTGGCTAATACTTCTCCTACTTTCGATCCAAGTTCATTACACGAAATATTTAAAGATTCCAAGACGGTGTTTTTGCAAATTGCATCTGCTAATGCTTCGCCTCCTCTTGGTCCAAGTTGATTTTCTTCAATTTCCAATGAAGTCAAAGTAATGTTTTTACAGAGCGCCTTTGCCAGTGCCTCCCCTCCTTCTGATCCAAGATTATTATTACAAAGATTCAGAGTAGTCAGAGTATCGTTTTTACAAAGTGCATCTGCTATTGCTCTACCTCCCTCTGGTCCAAGATGGTTACCACAAAGATTCAAAGAAGTTATGGAGATGTTTTGGCAAAGTGCATATGCTATCGCTTTTCCACCTTCTGATCTAAGTTTATTATTACAAAGATTTAAATGAGTCAGTGTGGTGTTTCTGCAAAGTGCTTCTGATAATGCCCATCCACCCTTTGATCTAAGATTATTATTATGAAGATTCAGAAAAGTTAGAACAGTATTCCTGCAGAGCGCCTTTGCTAATATTTCTCCTTCATTTATTCCAAAGTTATTATTCCGAAGATCCAATGATGTCAGTATAGTGTTCCTGTAAAGTACATTTGCTAACTCATTTACTTCTTTTAACCCATTATTAAGACTAAGCTTCCAATCTGATACAACGCTCTGACTACCCGCAGCATGCCTACTGCTCCTGAGAACTTCTTCATAAAGGTTTAATGCTTTGAGAAGTCTGCCCTCCTTTAAGCATTTATGCGCTTCCTCTCTCTTATTTGCACGTATATTCCTAGCAAAAAGCGAAGATTCTTTATTTATTTCATATCGCGTTTTCTTTTTCTTATTCATACGTATATTTCTACTAAAAGACGAAGACCCGGTGGTTTCATTTGTTTCATGTGGTGTTTCTTCTCTCTTAATCGCATGTATATTCCTACTGAAAAACGAAGATCCTGCGATTTCATTTGTTTCATGTATCGATTCTTCTCTCTTAATCGTGATTTCATGAGTTTCATCTTCTCTTTTAATCACATGTATATTCCTATTAAAAAGCGAAGATCCTGCGATTTCATTCATTTCATATGTCGATTCTTCTCTCTTAATCGTGACTTCATGGGTTTGATGTGGTGTTTCTTCTCTCTTAATAAAAGGTATATTCCTACTAAAAAGTGAAGATCCTGCGATTTCATTCGTTTCATGTGTCGATTCCTCTCTCTTAATCGTGATTTCATGGGTTTGATGTGGTGTTTCTTCTCTCTTAATAACAGGTATATTCCTGCTAAAAAACGAAGATCCTATGATTTCATTTGTTTCACATGGCGTTTCTTCTCTCTTAATAGTATGTATATTTCTACTAAAAAGCGAAGATCCTGCGATTTCATTTATTTCATGTGGCGTTCCTTCTATTTTAATTGCATGTGTATTCCCACTAAAAAACGATGGTTTCGTGATTTCATTTGTTTCATGTGTCACTTTCTTTTTCTTATTCGCACGTATATTCCTACTAACAAATGATTCCGAAGTTTCATGTGGCGCTTCCTTTCTCTTATCCGCACGTATATTCCAACTAGAAAGTGAAGATCCTGTAGCTCCATGTGTTTCGTGTGAATTATGTCGTGAATCTATATTTATATTCACATTTCCTTGTTGGTTTGGGAAAGTAGTTTCATTAGGAAGATGCTGATTTAAAGTTCCGTTCGGAATAAACTTGTTTAAAGTTTCGAAAATTGTTTTCGTTTCCGGACGAGTGTTAGGATCTTCATCCCAACATTGTTTATAAAGCTTAACATATTGAAGTGGTGTGCCTTCTATAGGATCTTCTCTATTTCCTCTTGAGATGTGAAGAACAAGCGAAAATTCCGATATAAAGGATTGGAAAGGTGGTATACCGCTTGAAATTTCCCAAAGAATCACACCAAAACTATATACGTCTGATTTCTTGTTATGCATATATCTTTGATCATTAAAAAATTGTGGAGCTATATATGCGGGCATTCTACGACCAACTGAGTTTGACAATCCAAAATCTGCAATCTTTGGTTTTCCTTGATGAATTAATATATTTTTCGAATGCTATAAAAATTTTAACAGAGCATTGATGAATAATAAATAAATCAATAAATAAAACTCATAAATAAAACCAATAAACACGTAATATAAAAGATAGCAACTTACAAGATTCTTATGAATAATACCATTCTCATGCAAGAACAAAAGTCCTAGCGCTACGTCCCTAGAAATGTGTAATTTATTTGTCCATTGCAGCATCATAGAATTTTCCTTCAGATAATCTCGTAAATTTCCATCATCAGCATATTGAAAAATCATATTATAAAATCCATTGTTGTCTATTTATTTATAATAAATATTAATGAATTTATAGTTATTTTTTATACAGTACTCCAGAATTATAAACCATATACATACCTTTAGTGATTCCATAAAATGAAATAATACTTTGATGGCAATCAACTTTTCGTAACAGTTTAAGCTTTTATTGAATCACAAGAAAATTTAACATATAAAGATTAGGAACTAATTCAAGTTTGAATACGACATAATACCATATTAATAAAGTCGGTAATAATTTTTTCGTCTAAACTTGTATCGACTTCAAGACATTTAAGCGCAACTGTTAATTCGCAGTCCTTCCATTCGTATTTGAAAACTGAGCCAAAACTTCCACTACCAATTTTCACACGGTCTGTAAATTTATCATATCCAAGATAATTAATATGTCCATTGTGAATAGCTCTTTGGAACCCTTTCTCTAAAGTATTTTCCATGACTTTGACTCGTCTGATCAAGTATTAACGCGTGCGAATAATATTATTTTTGTTTATCTCGCAGAATTGCGTGTCGATGGTTTTATACTCTAGATCGTTACACAAACAGTGCGGGACAGCAGTTTTTTTTTATTGACGTATATTTATAGCATTTCATAAAATTCGTAAAACGATTATTTTTTTAATCATCTTATCTTGCTCACGTGAAATTTGAAACGTTATTCAAAAAGAAATTTGACTTTTATTAGTTACTTCGCTTTGAAAAACTAAAAAAAAAACATATTTATAATATCGTATTATGTATTAATATTGTCAAAATCTATAATATAAGTTGATGAAATACTTGATCTCACTTGTTCTCCAATGTTTATATGAAAGTTAGCATACAAAAAATAATTTGACAAAATTTTAGGCAGTTTGATTATAAAATTTAACTACGTTTTATTTAGATAAAAATCTCTATTGTAAACTATCTAATATAAAAACTTGTGTAATAATTTTAAAATAAAATAAATAGCCAATCAAAACGAACTTCCATTATGCTATGCGGGACAGCTAAAGATATCCACTTTTTCCATGATGCAATTCAAACACAACCAGGGTTGGCAATGGACTATGTCTATTGAAAATAAGTTTGTCAATAGAACTCAATGGATCAATATTATAATCCATTGGTCCATTAGTTTATTAGCATAAGCCAAAATAAGGTCAATACCAAAAAAATCTCAAATATCACGTAGTATAATATTCTAAACTCATTTATAAAAGCTATATAATTATTTTACCTACTTGTCCATTGGTTCATTGAAATAGTAACCATCCAATAGAATCAATAAAACTGGTCAATGGATTTAGGGTTCATTTATACCAATAGACAAATGTGCCAACTCTGAACACAATCTCAATATATCTTATTTAAATTTTTAGAATGCTGGTTTACAGCAATTTTAAAATATACTACACAAATTAAACTCATTAAACAGGAAGTATCTGGACTTAATAATATACTTAAAACTAAAAATATTACAAATAAACAAGTTATATATATTATAAACAATATTATTATTTTAATTCTTGAATATCATATATATAACAGAGTATTATCACATAATATATATAATTTAATCTTATCACAATATCTAATCATTATTAAATACAAAGTAAAACTACCAATTGCTACTCCTAATAGTACTATGTTTAATTATAATATTTATAATATTAAAAACAGATAAGACATTTAATTATAATATTACTCCTCTAACTTTCTACTTCAAATTAATAATCTAAACATTATAAAAATTAGTACACATATTAGACTCCAACAATTACAAAATAATTTGTAGTCTATAACAAATACTCTTTAATACTCTTTATTACCAATTAATGAACCTAATTAAAATATACCTACTTACAAAATTATACAATTCTTCAATCATCTTTAATTTTATATTAATACTCACTCTAACTATCTTTATTTTTATACACTTCAACATCTCTATACTCCTATTAAGAAAATACTAAACATATACAAATTATATTTGCAATTCAAATAACAGCTATGTTAAAAACAATTTATTTATTTAGAACAACTTATATTTCAACTCTACTAGACTGGAAATATATTATTATGATTACAATAAATACTCAAAGGCCATCAGTCATTGTGATTTACAATACTAAAAAACAAAATTATTACAAACTAAATACAAAATAAATAGATTTTTATTAGAATAAACTAATATAAACTTACTTTTATTTACTACTAAATACTTCAAAACTAAATCTAAATTCTGGCTTATTATTTATAACACAAATCAAAATATAATTTTTAAAAAAACAAGATAATATAACCAACTAGATAATACTATAGTTAAACCTTGATATAATCACTAAGTTAAAAAAACAAACATTTGGTAATAAATATATTTTATAATATCTAGAATTAAGAAATAGTATAATTATAACAAGTTTGTGACTATATTAAGAGTAACTATAATAAGGTCTGACTGTATATCTATTATATACTAAAATATAAAGTTTAATTATCAATATATAAATCTTTATTTCTTACCAGATTACAATTATATATTATATATAGAATATATTTTAAACGTTAACTATATTCAAAAGAAATATATATTCAATATTACAGTTAACTTAGCTACTAAATTTCTAGAAAAAAAATACAACCTTTAACAAACTTAGTCTTTATATTAATATATTGAATTTACTTTACTAAGTTACTATATTTTTAATATAATATTAATTCTCTTATCTAGAGTATATCAAAAGTTATATATAATTATATATTGTTATAGCTAATACTGAATTTAGCTAATATTGAATATAAAAATTTAGACCAGAAATTGCAGATCATATGTTAATTAAAAAAAATTAAAACAAACATTTAGTTTGTTTATAACTCAAAAATTTGCATATTAATAAAAAGTTTTTTTGGCAATTTTATTATTATATCTACTAATATCTAACTATATTGTAATCACTAACTCTAACTAAAATAAAAATAAGTTTATGACTATCCTAAGTATCATTATTAAAAATTTCACTCTAACTAATAACAAGTTCTTCAAGTTTGTTTATATTAAATTATTATCTATATTAATATTAGAGTTTAAATAGTTATATAGTAAATTTACCCCAAAAAAACTTTTGTTAGTATACAAAGTATCATTTCTTATAAAATTTTTAAAAAATTATCGATTTTTAACAAAAAGATATTTGTTTTGAATTTTCATAATTGATATATAATCAGCAATTTCTGGTTTAAATTTTTATGTAATATTCAGTATCAGCCAAATTCAGCATTAGTTGTGATATATATTTTTAATTTTTAATTAAAGTTCAAGCAAAAATTAGTATAGAGTCAGAATAAAAATAGATTTTATAGTAAAATTTTCTTTTCAATATTTTTATTAATATTTTAAAATAGATTTAAATATTTATTTCTGAGTTTAACTACAAATCACTGATAGTGATCATCACCAGTGTGTAATTAGCCAATAATAATAAAACAAAATAAATTTATTTCTTCTACTTTAGAATTAAGATGAGGCCTGAGATTTAGCAAAATATTAAATATATAAAGAATCTTTTTTGCTAGAATGTTAAAATAATTTCATAAACAAATTTTTGAGATATTGATATTTTTAAAAAATCTTTATTTTTATTATACAAACTAATTTGCACATTACATCTGATCCAGCAAATTTATTGACTAATTATATACTAGTGATATCACTGCTGGATATAGTTAGCAAAATTCTTTATTTTTTATATTTTTAATAATTTTATTTTAATTAAATTTATTTTAGCAATTCTATTTTTATTTTATTAATCAGAAATAATTTACAAATATATTTTTTATTGGCTAAAATCTATATACAAATTTATTAACTACTATATTTTTTATAGGTTCAAGTTTTAAATTTTGGTAACATTTCTGTGTGATATCAGTAAGATATCAGATGCCAATTTATCTGAAAGCTTACTGATATTTGGCACATATCTTCACCTATTAGCAGAATATTGGCTTCTAATAGGCCTATTGAATATATAATATTTTTAAATAAAGTATTATATATTCGATAGGCCTATTAGAATCTGATATTCTGCTGATAGATGAAGATACATGCCAAATATTGGTAAGCTTTCAGATAAATTAGCATCTGATATCTCACTGATATCTCACAGAAATGTTACTGAAATTTAAAACTTGGACCTGTGTTTGTACAAATAAAGATTTTTTAGTTTATTATATTATTGCTGTAAAAAATAAAACAAGCTCTAAATTTTATATTAGAGTATAATTCAAAAGCAATCTATATAAATAAATATTTTTTTCTTTTAAGATCTTTAACTTTCTAAAAATATAAGCTTAGCTATAAACAAATGGATTTCATCTATTTTGTCAGAATTACTACTTTATATAAAATACTATCAATCTGATAGCACTTTTTTATAAAGAAGTAAAAAAGAAAAAAAAAAGTATAGATAAATAAAAAAGAAATAAGTAAAAATAAAGTATAAAGAAAATAACTAAATTATAAAAGAATCTAAAACTATTCTAAAATTTATAAAAATTTGTCTATAGATATAAAAATCTTATAATTAAATAAAAAGCCATTTATATAATTATAAAAATCTATATATAAAGCTATCTGATAAAAAATAAACTATAAACTAAAATATACTTTAACTTGTATTAAAAGCTAAAAATTATATACATATAGCTTCTGAATATTGTATATCACTTTAGTTTATACCTCTTAATTAAATTTATTTAAATTTTATAAAGTTTCAAAATATAATTATTGGTTTTAAAATAATTTAACTTTTTTTAAAGCAATTTCTTTTATAGTTTTTTACTTTGAACTTTACTTTTATATTATACAAGATTAAACAGAAGTTTATTCTTTTAATTATATATTATTAGAAGCTACTTTCTATAATATTTTCTAAAAAAAACTTATTTTTAATAGTTAAAATCTAACTAAAATACAAAACTTTTTATTTTTTTTTTTTTTTTTTCACTTAGGCAAAGTTACGCCAGTGAGTTCTGTTTATTAAGGCCCTTCTTGTGAAAGCTGTTAGCAATAAAACTATAATTCTGACATCCTGCAATTACTTCATATAACCTAATCGATTATCTACATGTACCTACAGGTGACCTGCCACACTGCAGAGGTATGATCAATTAAGATAATACCCTAGACGAGGGCTCGTTCGACCACCGCTCTACAATAGGATATCACCAATCTGATGACATTTTCTCATAGGGAAGTGAAAGAAAAAGAAAAAATATTTTATAAAAAACACAGAGGTATAAGGGAATACGATAAAAGATACAAACAAGAAAATAAAGAGGTAAAGGAAAAAATGAAAAAAATGAAAAACATGGGATATACCCACAACAGACGGTCACAATTATAAGCCTGTATTAGGCTTTGTAAAAATTACATACTACTATCTAAACTAGTCTCTACTCTAATTTAACTAATTAATATATTTAAGTGAAAACCTAATGAAAAAAAAAAGCTCTTCGACATCAGCACTATACTCTAGCACTATAAGCTCTCTAGCTTCTTTTGTTTAAACTCCCATAGAAGCGTAAACAAAAGCGTGCTTCAGGCACCATAGAGAAGTAAGAAATTCGCACAGTTGATCTCGAAGCATTGTTTGTCCAGGTTGCCACTTCCGAGACACGTAATCCATATATTCACATTTTATAAGTATTTATGTGTTTGTTGTAATGAGAAAAAAGTAAACAATGCCGACCGATTTGGTAAGTAAACAATATATCGATCTTTTGGAAGGAGTAAGCTAAATCACACACTTTTTACAAAATTTTCCCCGAAAAAAAAGTGGAGAGTCAATGAGAATATGTGAGGTTTTTTTTGTAAGTTTTATAGTTGTATAGTCCAGTTTCCAAGTATCTACTTGATATTCTTGCCCAGAGACTTTGCTCTACTTGTTCCTAGAATAAACCTTCTAGTTTGGATGCCGAACATGCGAGAGAGTCCGTCGAAGAAAGAAAAACTTGACCCAAGGCACAAACTCGCCTAATATTCTTATACGCCCGCTCCTCGGTGTTTCACATATTGTAGGCTTTGTCAACAACAAGTTTGCTTAGTGCAAAACCAAGAATATTACTGTGTCTACTATGTTGCTTTCCTATATCGCTGACTGTAGTTCGGTAAATTGTTGTTGACCAAGTGATCGTTGGGAAGAGTTATGAAATTTAAGTTGTTTTAGTTCATATTGAAAATTTCTTATTATATTATTATCTATAATTACTTACATTTAATTCTTTTTTAAAAATGCGATATTTAAAGTTTAGAGCGATAATTGAAAGAATGTGAATGATACCATCTGATCCTTTTTTATTCGAACACAATACATTTTGAAAGCTGTTCTACCAAGGTTTATCTTGCGAATCTTCAGTCAATTATAAACTTTGGACTTGAGGTGAAATATTATTTAATTGAATAATATTATTTTTATAAAGATTTTGTAACAATTCTTTGTCAGCGGTGGGGTCTAATGCTTTACTCCAAAATTCTATAGATAATGATTCTTCCAAAATAGGTATTACATTAGTATATTCGCAAGCAGTAAACATGGCTTGCTATGCTCATAACTTTTTGTCTTGAAAAATATGATTAGGTTTGTAAATATTTTGTAATATAAGCAGAAATTGAATAACAGAGCTTTTTTGTTGGGACCAAATATAAAAAAGGGTTGGCCAACTGGCTATTGGGCTAATAATCTTTCGTGATCTTATATGACAATTAAACATCTTCTCAAGTTTTTGTGTATTTGTTTATTCATTAATAGTACATGTTGGTAATTTACGATTTACTATGCTTAAATATTCTTGAACTAATGTATTTGTAATTTCAAATAGATATAATTTAGTAAATTTTTAAGAAATTCTATCTGATTCCAAACTTCGTCCAGATCTGTTCTTGTAATTCTATTGATACATACTGATTCTAAATAGATTTCTAAAATATATAAATATTCTTCAATTTTTAATACAAATAGATGCTGTGCTCCATGATAACGTATCGTAAATGAAGAAACAAATCCAGCACCAACATTATAAAGTTTATTTTCATCTAGATCACCAATACTTAAAACCACTATGTCAAACTTATTAACTCGAAGAAATATTAGAAAAAATACTATATTAGCAATCAATTGTTTAATGATTAACTCGTTTTCGAAACCCATACTAGCAGAACCAGAGTATTCAGTTTTTGTTCAGAAAATTTGTTGATAGTATGAGTTAATTGCTACTGATAGATTTGATTCAATTTTGCTTTTAATTTCACTGCACATATATCGAAAACCTAATCTTGATGGATTTTGAGCATTAGTTAAAACCGCAATAGTGAAGATTTTATAATTAAGCTCACATTCAATACATATATATAAACAGTAAGGTATTATATAATGTTTTGTTCCTATTTCTGTTTCTATATCAACTTCTTCTCACCATATTTAGACCAAACTCCATAATGAAGTTGGGGTTTATAATGCCTAGACTTAAAATTTTTGTAACAAATTGTTGTTATCTTTTAGGCATTTCTTTTATAATTAACTATTCAAAGATATATCTAACTTTTAATACTTTGAATTCAAATATTAATATTATTATTAATTAGGTTTTTATTGGCTAAATTATGGGATGCTCTCACGTGCTCGGAAAAATCCTATGATCTTCGCTAACGCTCGAAATTTAGCCAATCGGGGAATGCACGGACCATGTGCCGTACATGTGCCGATGATACCAATATATCAATATATCTTGACTAATCACAGAACACTCATTGTGCCAAGAAACAATGATTAAAAAAAAGAATCGAAATATTCGTACTAAAACAGAAAACGACGACGAAGAAGACAGTGAGTAAAATTTATTTAATTTTTAAAGTTAACATATACCAAATCTTATACTATATTTAAATATAGGTTTGCAGGTACCCGTTGTTAAAATAGCGAAGAAAAAAAACAAAAATAATAAATCCGTTCTGAGCTTTGGAAACGAAGAGGTGCATAATAATTCAATAAATCCAAGATGTTTTAAGCTGTGGTCAATTGATATTAATTTCCTTTCTATTTTATGCGTTTGTGTCTAATAATTAGGGAGAGGATGAAGCCTTTCAGGTGACCAAAAGTTCTGCAAGTCGTAGATTGGCACAATCCAAAACAAAGCAATTGTTTTTAAATCAGTTAAGTAAGACTAATTGATTATAATAGCAGATTGTTATGTTAATGCTGACATGACTATTTTATTTAGAGAATCAGTCCCTCTTAATCTTGATCAAGCGACAATATCATCCTCCCCTTCGTATACCCAAGAGCATTTATCGGAATTACGCGCAAATACACCAATCATGCCGTTATCATTTCAAGTACAAGATAACGTTATTGCGGAAAAATTTCCATCCACTCTAGGATCTGGTATATATATATATCCGAATTTCGATTATATTTTCTTTAAATGATCGTTTATAGTGTCCTAAATTTTGTAATTTTAAAGGTCAAATTTCGGGAATACCTGATGCAAGTGCCATTCATGCCGCTAAAAAAAGGAGAGAGATGTTACGACAAAAAAGCGCTTTCCTAGATTATATTCCATTAGATGATAATACGGATGTGAGTGTTTTATATTATCTGGATTTTATTAACCACTAGATTTCTTACCTCTGATTTTTTCGGAAGGTTGATTCTATTTCGGAAAAAAAGATAGAATCGAGGCTTGTACGTGAGGATGATGAGATTGGAGACGCAGATGAAGGTTAGTTTTATTTTTTTCACTACAAATTATTAAATTGAAAAGTTATCACTGTTTACAATTTTAATTTAATCTTAGAACTTGGACAATACGTTGAAGAAAAAGTACCTCTTGGTAAAAAGGCCGAAAGAGAGCATCAACGTCTCAAAAAAGCAGGAATAAAGGAAATGTTAATGGAAGTGTAAGTATTTAGACTTTAATTTGTTGAACCATATAATTCATGCTTAAATTTAAACTTGGTTGTTTCACTACAATTCATATTTAATTATTTCATAGTGATTATGAAGATGAAGATGACGAGATAATGCAATGGGAAATGGAACAAATTAAAAAGGGAGGGCATTCCCTCAAAACTTCAGCAAACCAACCTCAATCAAAGAAACCGGCTGTAAATATCTCAAGTAAGTATAAAGATAAATTCTTAAAAGTCGTCCTTCGAGGATAGTGTTCTGTACTTAATTTTAATTTTTGCATAGTTCCTACAGTCACATCTATTAAGTCAATATCTGAGGTCCAGACGATCCTTGAGCAGAAAATGTATGACCTACGGTACCTTCACACTACTCACCAGTCTGAGCTTGTTCAAATTCAAAAGGACATTGAAGGTCTTGTTAAATCAAGTGAACAAATTGAAAACGAATTACAAACCACCAAGAAACGATATACGTATTTTCAAGAACTTAAAACGTTCGTTGAGAATCTAGTCGAATTTCTCGACGATAAGGTTGTTAAAGTTGGAATTACAGGTCCATTATTTTGTCGCTTTTGAAATTACTAATTAGGTTTGCGATTGGAATTGTTTGTGTTTTTATTTTTGATCAAATTAACTCAACGAATTTTTGCTTTGAATTTACAGTTTCCTACCCTTGAAAAATTAGAAAGTGATATTGATGCAATGCTTAAAGAAAGAACCGAGCGAATTATGAAAAGAATAATGGAAGATGACTCGGATGATTTAGTATTGTTTTCAAATGATTATCAAAGTGCGTTTTGATATTAATTTGTGCAAAAACTTAATTTGAAAAGTAAAATTAACTAGTATTATTAATAAATTTTCATTTTTAAAGATAAATTTAATATTAATGAATATGTCGAGCAGCAACAAGAAATAGATGAACTCGGTCGCGTGAAGCCACCTGCGTCTGTAAGTTTTAGTGTTAGTGACACTACTCGTCAACGTCGACGGCAGCAAAGAGATAAAAGAAGATCTAAACGGTTACAACGCGATATGGAAGATGAAGTTAAAATGGAAGAAGGATTATCTACCGATGATGAACTAGGAGAAGCTGATGATAGAGATATGGCTACTAAAATAGGTAGTTTTTTGAAGCAAGCATTTCTGAAATAAGTTATATATTTGTAAAGCTTTGAATTGACGATCACATTTATTTCGTAGATGAAATTTCATATCACAAAACTAAATTATTTGAAGATGTTATTGATGATTTCAAATCTATTTATTTGGTTAAATCAAAATTTGATACATGGAAAAAAGAATTTTCTGAAGATTATGCAAAGGCGTATGGGGATTTAAGTTTACCTGGAGTGTTTGAGTTTTATGTGAGATATGAAATACTGTTATGGGAAACGTTTAAGGTAGGTCATTATTAAAATTGCGTTTAAACAAAGTATATACATATTATATTAACATCTTTTTTATTTTAACACGTTAATTGTAGGGACATTCCGATTTTGGCCAGATGGAATGGTACCAAACAATTTCTGGGTCTAATGATATGAATTCTTCTTCAGATATTTCGGAAAATGATAAACTTTTGACAAAAATTGTCGAAAAAGTCATTATTCCACGGGCTATTCATTTAGTCAAAGTTCTAAATCCGTATTCTTCCGAAGAAACAAAATCTGCTATCGAGTTTTGTAAATCAATGTTAAAGTTTGTTGATAAAAACTCTCCAAAATTCAAGGTAAATTGATTAAAATTATAATTTTTATTATGATGGTAAATAAAATGTGTATCGATCAATGATTGACTCTTCTTTACACGATAGGATTTTACATCTGCAATATCGAGCTGTCTACAAAATATAGTACTAGATATTAAGCACCCGGATACTTTCAGTTTACGTAAATCTGAAATGGACGAAAACGCTTTAAGATCACGGGATAGATTTTTTTGGCGTAGATACAAGGTATGCATACTTTATTATTTCAATTTTTTATTTTATTTTATATATATATATTTATTTATTTATTTATTCGCGCGTTTTCTTGACAGTTAATGAAAAATCTTATCTTGTGGAAAGATTATATCCAAGAAGATTTTGTTCGTCCACTTGTCACAGAGAATTTGATTGATCAGTGTATGCTACGTATATTAAATGTGTCACCGGCAAATGCGATTAAGTTTCAGAAGGTAAATTTATCCGCCTAAACTACTTATTAAATTTTGTTATTACATGCTCATACAATTCTAATTCTTAGATACTTGAAATTGTTCCGGGTGATTGGTTTTCACCTCCAACGTTGGAGAAAATTGCGCGTGGGGCTGTAGGCATTTGATTTTGGTTAGGGATGGTAAAGTTAGTTTAGGATTGGTTTATGTTGTAAAACCTTCAGGTTTCAAATTAAAAGCCTAAGAACAAGGTTTTTATATTAACAAGTTCCAAACTTAAGTTTAATCTGGTTTGGTTTAGAATCAAAATTTAAAAGCCTGGTCTCAATATTTTTGTAAAACAAAAGATAACAATATATTAATAAAAAAAGTTAATTCATACCAAACCTTTTAGAATATATATTTCTACCTTTTGAATAACTTAATACGTATGCTAAGGTTGACTTATTTAAATGATGATTCTGATAAGGTTTGTAGTATGATTACAATAAAATTTGATGAGTTTTATAATAAAGTAAAATCTAACGTCGTTTTAAAGTAAATGGTTTACTAAATTAATCGTTTATCTAGTTTTTGTGATCTTGATCTTAATAACAGTAAATTAACCTGATAGTTTTTAACTTTTTTTATAATTATACAAAGTTAATTTTATTGATTTTACTGTTACGTATTAGAATTACAAAAATTACTACGTAAAAAGTTATCTGTATTTGCATTTAAATGGAATACTGAATAAATGTTTTTTTCCATATTTAAAAGTAAAATGAAGATTTATAATAATCAGTTTAATATAAAAATCAACTAGGACTATTGAATGCAATTATGATGAAATTTGAATAAGGCATTTATTTATTATCAAAATCAGCAAAGACGGGAAGTTGGAAATTGCTATTGAAATTGAACCGGAATACAGAGATTTGTTGAAGGCTAATTATTGGAATCGAATATAAATGTTATTTTAAATTCTATAATTGTTTACCAAATTATAACAACCTTATATTCTCTGATGATGATCAGAAAAGATATCGGATAATTAAAAGATTATTATTTGAATTACTTTTGGAAGCTTAAATTCACCAATGTTTTATAGCCACGGACGGACGGAAAGAACTTTCATTGACATGAATTTTATATTAAGAATTTTTCGGATATTAAAAAATAGCAATATATTACAGTTTGAGCTTTTATATTTATTAACTTTTATTAATGAACAATGCTAGATTTGCCATGTAAAAAATACAGAACTACGTGCAATAGCAACATTTTCAATTACTAATTTTATTTAATATTAAGTATAGAATAAAATGTTTTCTAAGTTACTAAAAGCTAATTACATAATAAAAATATACACAAAATAAACTTTAAGATATCATTAGAATAAATAAACATAAAATTGATTTTATCGTTATCACCATTGTTATCAGAAAAAATATTTTCTAAAGCACAACTTTGTATAAATTTCCGTATGCCGTAGGAATTTCGAACCTAATATAAAATTAAAAAAAAAATTAATAAACCATTTTATATATATTTGTTTAAAAAAAAATAAGAAATAAAAAAGAAACGGGTTAAGCATCCATTAGTTGGTTATCCGGTCACACCACGAGGAGGTCGATGCTTCAGGTGACACCAAATTCGTCGGCGGAGAATCATAAGCAATCACTAGGCCTCCAGTATACTATCCAGAAGAACAATAACACCAACTAAACATCGGCGGAGAATCTTAAGTAATTACTCCTTAATAATTACTAGGTCTCCAGTTATTCTTCAGCTGGACGATAAATACCAACGAGACTTTTGACGAGCCGGGCAATTGTTGGGGTAAACTACTCTATTTAAAATATTAAAATCTTTGATCGTGAATGAATGAATATTAATCATTTCATTCGGTAGTGACCAAAGCATACACAAAAAACAAAGGAATAAAAAAGACTGTTTACTAGTTTCATATAATCTACGTGTGATTATACTTACTATCTAGTCGCACCAACAGCGTATATACAACTTTAAAGAAAAAAAAAAAAGGTGTTTTACTAATAAAAAATATTGCTAAAACAACAAGAAAAAAGGAAGTGAAAAAAAAATACGCAAGAAAAAAGAAGTGAAAAGATATTTGTTTTGATCAACATGATAAACGTGATTAATTGCAGAATTGTCAAAACGTGATCATATTACACAACCGCGTAAAAGGGTCGCCTAAAAGGCTCTTTATTTACCTTTTTCGGTTCTGACTGAAATAATAAATTTTTATCACATAATTTATTAGATATTTTGTTACGTACATTAACTACAGTACTTATACTATTAGCAATTAAATTTATTATATCCTATTATGAAAAGCGTCCTCTTTTTTTTAATTTTGCAACCGAAATATTGTGCTACATACTGTTATACATACATACATTTATATATATTGTATACAAAATAATGATTAACGTTAATTTCTCCGTAACACCTTAAAATTATGGTCGATGAATTTAGTTCTAAAAGAGATGAATATTATGAAAAATGTGCAAATTGTAAGCGATATAACACATCTCGTGCTTGGTGCCAAACATGCGACCCTCATACGATAGTACAAGGATGGACAAGTGGAAATAAGGAAATCGATGATTGTATTAAGGAAATTCAACTTAAAGCCACAGAATATGAAGATGTAATCGAGTGGATTCCTTTTAACAGATTAGTTAATATTCAAGAGAATGGAGAAAGATTTTTAGCAACCTGGTTAGATGGTGTACGATATATAAAAAATAAATATAGTAATGAATGTACACAGTCACGTACACCGGCATGCATAATTGCACTTAGGATATTAACTAGAACACAAAATATTCCAAATATTTTGAAAGAAGTGAGATTATATGAATTTATTATGTGTATTTTATTTAATTAATACTATGTATACTTAATTTATAATTCTATTGTTTATATATTTTATAAGTTTAAAAATCATGTGCAATTAGAAAGTCAATTAGAGGATAAAAGTCTCTATGGGCTAACTCAAAACACAAACACGAATGAATATATGTTAGTATTTGATGAATTTAGTTCTATAAGGGAGTATAAGAATGGAGAATGTGCAAATTGCCACCGAAACAATACTTCTGAAGCTTGGTGCCAAACATGTGACCCTTGGAAAACAACACAAGGATGGACAAGTGGAAATAAGAAGACCGATGATTGCATTAAGGAATGTCAGCTTAAAGCTACTTCTTATGAAGATGTTATCGAATGGATTCCTTTTAATAGACTAGCTAACACTCAAAATATTGGCAATAAAGTTTTAGCAACCTGGTTAGATGGAATACGATTCACTTCAGGTGGATTTGGTTATTATACACAGTCACGTATACCAAGATATAAAGTAGAGCTTAAAATATTAATTAGAACACCAAATTTAATAGATATATTAAACGAAGTAAGATAATAAATTCATGACATGATATTGGGCAAGATATATATAGCTTTATGTTAATTTATATTTAAAAATGATTAAGTTTACAGATTATGCTCAGTTAAACCAGTTAAGGAATAATGAGTTTAAAGTATATGGACTAACTCAATGTACCACAAATGAATATATGCTAGTATTTGATGAATTTGGTTATAAAAGAAATAAAATTTATGGAGAATGTGCAAATTGCAAACGATATAACACATGGAAAGCATGGTGTCAAACATGCGACCCTCATAAAACAATACAAGGATGGACAAGCGAAAATAAGGAGATCGATGATTGCATTAAGGGATTTCAAATTAAAGCTACGAAATATGAGGATGTAATCGAATGGATTCCCTTTAATAGACTAGTTAATATTCAATTTATTGATGATAGATTTTTAGCAACCTGGTTAGATGGTTTACGATATGCAAATGAAGTTGAAGATAATGAATATACACAGTCACGTACACGGGCATGCACGATTACACTTAAAATATTGAGTAAAACACAAAATACACAAAATATTTTAAAGGAGGTGAGTTCATATTATAAATTATATAATAGTGTAAATGTATATTTACATTATATTTGTACTTATGTTTATATATATTTATACTTATGTTTATACTTATGTTTATTCTTATGTCTATACTTATGTTTATACTTATATTGTTTATTTATTTTAAGTTTAAAAAATCATATGCAATTAAAAGGTAAAAGTGTCTATGGGTTAACTCAAAACACATTCACGAATGAATATATGTTAGTATTCGATGAATTTTATAATAAAAGATCTAAGTATAATGGAGAATGTGCAA